GGGAATTGCAACAGCACCGGGACAGAGGAGCCATTGGTAGTCTGCTGGGAAGGTAAGTGCGCAGTGACAGGCTCCGGGTTCATCCAGGTCTCAAAGGGAGGTGACTCAGCCGTGGTGTCCCCGCTGCTCCGTGGAGCTGTCATCCCATCTCCCCACGGCGAGCGCAGCATCAGGAGGGCGCAGCCACCCGCGGCGTTAGGAGCCTTTCCCAGTTAGCCAAGACATATCTCCAGTTCTGAAAAAGAGAAAAAAACAGCAGCGCTGTGAGGTGTTTCCCAGCATGTGCAAGCAAACGTGGTCGGTGTGCCTGGGCGCTGCCCCCAGCACCAGTCCGGTCGTCGGTTGTCAGTCCCCATCCCCGAACATGTGCTGCTTTGCGCAGAGGCACAGCCAGCCCAGGCAGTGCCCTTCCTCCGCTCTCACTCACACATCACTAAAACTGTCCAAAAACTTGTCTAGATTTTCGATTCCATGTAAAACTGAGTTCCAACAGTATTTTTTTAACTTAAAACAAGCCTTTCTGGCAATCAGCTGAAAATTCATGGAAAGCCACCGAACGACAGGCATCTCGCCAGCGGACCAGGGTCCCAGCCGAAAGGCAGCTGCCCGTTCCTGGCAGATCTGGGCACCAGCACCCTGCAAAGGGGACGTAGCAGCCATGCACACCCGCTCGCCCCTGGCGTGGCTCCTGCCACCCCCAGTCCCACCACCCAGCGCAACGGCATCACCCCCCACAAAACCAGCATGTAACCAGTGTCCCCACACGGGAATTAGGGACGTGGCTGTCCCTCCTGCCAGCCCTTCTCACCCAGCACACCCAGGACCCCGAACCGAACGTACTTGCCATGACGGACAAACAGCCTAAAAGGTGTGAAAGCAGCAGGAGACAGAGAGAGAAAAAACATTCAGGTTTAAGCGGTCTGGCTTTCTCCAGGCTCGCCGAGCTCCCCCCCGGGGGCCAGCAGCTCCCCCCTGCCACTGGGCTGCCCAGGAGATGCCACCTCCCTCCAAAGCCAGCAAACATTTCCCGATGCGCCAGGGATGATGGGCACAGCCCTGCCCCGGTCGCTGGAGGCAGGGAGGACCCTCGCCGTGCTCCCCGTGCTCCCTGTGCTCCCCGTCCCAGGGTGTCCAGGGTGTCTGAGCTGGCTCAGGGCTGCCCGCAGGCTGGGAGCACTTTCTCTTTTGACAAAGTCTGCTTTTATTCCAGATGCGGAAACACCCCAGGGACAGCGACCCACACTCCCCCCTCATCGCTGATTCTCACTCAAAAGGCTGTTTCCTGCCGTTACCACCTCCCTGCCACTTGCCTTCCAGCACAGCATGTCCTGCACTCACACTCTGCGTGCTGGGGTACACGCTTTCCTGTGCAAAGTCTCAAAAACAAAGTGAAGGGAGAAAAACGCGCTTTGCCTATGAGCTACGCCCCAGTGAAGCAGAGGCTGAGACACCAAGAGCCAGCGTCCTGGCACCGCGAGCTCTCCGGGCTTTGCTCTTGCAGAGGGTTGTGCATGGGCAGCACACCCAGCCCCTCTCTGCAGGTCCCCTCGACTGACTGGGTGCTGCCAGCGCCCGGTGGCAGTGAGCACCACCATCCCATCGAGTCTGCACAAGGATTTGGGTCCTCGTGTTTAAGACAAACCCCCCATGTGTGTGTGGGATGCCAGACCTGGAGGCGGCTGGGAGGCAGCACTGGGGGGATGCAGCGAGCAGGGCAGGAAGGGAGATGCGAGAAGGGTACGGAGTGGGGAGCCGCGGAAAGCGCTGCCCAGTGCCCGTCGGGGTCCTGCCTCGGGGTGCTCAGCCCTGCCCCGCACCCCACGGCCATGCTCAGCCCCTGCCCTGGCACTGCCAGTTCCCGCAGCGCATCTACTTACTCCACATCGCGCTTTCGGATGGTCCTGCCGGCAGCCAGGACCTCAGCCACCTTGGACACAATAGGGTCGTAGTTCATGCTGGCCACAGCCACCACCTCGTCGCTCCTAGGGCCGGGCAGAGCAGAGCAGGTTAGGGCAGCCCCGGGTGGCCATGGCTCCATCACCCAAAAAGCAACATGCTGGAGAGAAGCAGGAAGCAAAGAGAAACACCCACTCCAGGGTCAGGACCTGTCCCAAGGCGTGAGCACCACAGGGACTGCTAGAGGTGTGGGACAAGGGACAGGAGAGGGCTCAGAGCTGGCCCTGCAGGCTGGCCCCACTGTGGTCTCACTGACGCTCACATGTGGTGTGGTGAGCATCACTACGGTGCCCAGGGGACGGAGACAGCTCTGGGTACCCCTGGCATCTGTGGGAAAACACCAGCAAAGGTGGATCTGATGGTGGAGAAAAGCCTGAACATCAGGAAGGATGCCCAGTGGTTGCTGCCATCCCTCCGCTGCTGCCCTGTACCGAGGAAGTGGAGAAGCGGGTGGTCGGGATTTTGCTGTGGGACACTCGGTTGTGCTGCTCCACATCCCCTTCCTGATCCCCGCCTCCGAGTGGGCAGTGACCACCTCCCAGCTGCTCCCCAGGCACGCACTGGGACAGCTAGGGTGTCTGACACCAAGGTTCCACCAGCCCTTGTGTGTCTGGCAGTATGTCTGGGATGTCTGGCAGTATGTCCCAGTCCGGCTGACCATCACCCACCAGGATGCCAATGCTGGTGGCACAATGCAACCTCAAAGGTTGAATGGGAAACAAATGAAGCGGAAGGGAAGAGGATGTAAAAACGTTGGAGGAGCTTTGACTAAAGGTCACAAGGCAAACAAGAAGGGCTCTTCTGCTTTGAGGTTTTCTGAGGTCAACCTGAGCATAAATCTTCAAAGACTGAACCAAGGAGATGACTCATAAAGATAACTGAAAAGACAAGCAATGTAAAGATCAGAGAAGGTGCATGGGTAAGATATTAAACACTGGTGATATTGTTGAGTAAGTTGAAGAGCAGAAGCAGCCAACAAATCAAGATCTGCCCAATAAATCACTGCCAAAAAGAGCTCCGTGACCAACAAAGCAAAGAGCAGCTGGCGGGGGTATGACATGTGCCTGGTTCCCAGGAGGAGGGGAGCAGAAGCCATGTTTCAGAGGACACTTCATCTCTGCGGAGCCATGGGAATTGAAGTCACCTCTCACAGCTGTCCCACAAAGCCACGGGGTAGCTCCATCACAGAAGATTATCTGTTTCAAAAGGCTTTGATTCCTTAATAAACTCAGGCAGTAACCAAGAAAGGGAAAGCAAGTCGGAGACAGAGCAGCCATCTGGCTTCCGCATCTGGGTGAGCACGGGAGTGCAGCGCAGAACAGGAGCCCAGAATCCTCTCTGGAGCCACTGGAGGATGTCCACAGCTTACTAAGTCCACACCAGCCAGACCCAGAGATAGACTGACACCAGCCAGGCTCCAGCACAGGGTGCTGCTCCATGGGAATGGTTGTGGGAAGTGGGAGCTGCCAGGAGCTCTAGAACGAGACTTGGATGCCATCGAAAATCCCATCTCAAGCATCCTTAGCTCACTGCAGAGATGGGTACCTATGGCAGAGGGGATTTTTGGTAGCCTGTGGCTCTTCCACCCAGCGGACGAGGTGAGAATAAGGAGTAACAGACAGACGTTGATGAGCAATACATTCACACTAGAAAACAGGCGTCCGTGGCAAGCAGTGAGGATAATTAACCATCCAAGAAGATTACAAAGCACGTGTGTGTCCTGGTTGGAGCACTGTGGATGAGCACTGTGTCAACATGGTCTTCCCTTCCTCTGCAGGGTTCAACGCAATGGAAGTGGAGAACCATGAAGAAGACAACCATAGTAATTCCCTGGATCTCCCAAGACCTCTGAGGTCATGGGGGTGGGATGACATCGGTCTGTTCTGGCTGAGGTGCTGTGGTGAAGGCAGTGTCCCATGGGGAAATCTGCAGAGCACCATCCTGTACACCTCCCGGCACAGGGCCTCACGCTGACCCCTCCACAGCTCACGCAGCTCTGACCAGGGATAAGTAAACAACTTGCTTCAAACTCTGGGGAAAAAAAGAGCCTTATTGTGAAAGTCAATGCTGAGGACACGCTCCAGGAGTGGGAACCACCAGCAGTTCGTGCAACAACCAAGGCAGCACACACCAGGAGGAGAAGAGTCCAAACCATCGGGTGGGCACGGCAGAAGGAAGCAGGAGGGGATGGTCAATTTGGGACAGTGTCCTCAGTCCAAAAAGCAGTTGCACCAACCAGAAAAACTATCACCAAATGAGAAAAAGAGGAAGAAATGCTCCCGGTCGCCTCTCACAGAAGCAGAGACGGGGACTTGATTACAGGAGAGCAAAGCAGCGGGACATGCACTGGCCGGCCACCCGCCAGCCAGCGCTCCCCCAGC